GTGTGTGTGTGTGTGTGTGTGTGTGTGTGTGTGTGTGTGTGTGTGTGAGAGAGTGTGTGAGTGTGTGTGAGAGTGTGAGTGAGTGAGTGAGTGACTCCATGCAATGACTGCAGTGAGACAGAACGGCAGGCAGGTTGCTGAGACAGGAACCCAATGGTTATATGCAAAGATTCTGGCTTTTTCCCTCGAGGCCTTAACTTCTATTTTCTAACTTCCAAAGTGTTGTTTTCTCTTCAGGGCTGTCTGTTCTTTAACACGGTCTCTCTTGCTGCTCTTTTTTGTTCTTCCTCGTATTTTTTTGTTCAAAGTAATTGAAACCTGACTGCCTGTGTGTTATTGTTAATTCCAGTTAGTGAGAATCTTTCTCAGCTAATTTATTCTCGACGAGCATCAAGTAAAGAGGTTTTTTATATATCTGTTTTCATGGGACAGGACATTTTAATTGTTTTTAAATTCTGACCCGCACATGCAGCGTAGAGAATGTCTCCGGTTCGTCTGCTCTTCTTCTTGTTCTGAATAGATCGGAGGTTGGAACACGGGGCCTCCAGGAAGGTCCGACCACTAAACAAGAGCCTTTTTCGTCTCTTTGAATGATTTTATTGATGTGTCATTTTGCCACACTGAGCTGATTTGTACATATTTTAAATTATTTCCAGGTCTTTTATAGCTTTTTAATCTTCACGACCAAATGTGTTTTGCTGGTTTCTTTTTCTGCACTACACTGAACAATCGACTCATCCAATTCCCACAGTCCTGAGCGACTGCTTTTCGTTAGCGTCTGGTGGCTGAGCAGGTGCTTTTTAAATTAGCCACCTTAAGGGCATTATGTGGAAACAACGTATGCATGTTATTTCTTTAAACATCTGGCCACAGGTGGAATCTGTGGAGCAGAGTTTGATTCATTTTGCTTCTGTCCCATCCAGAATGTTTCTTCCTTTGTAGTTTATTTTTTATTCTGTTGCAGATTGTTCTGCACATTCCAACTGGACACATTGTTGTCCCACATCTCGCTGCTTACGCCATCGTAATCTTAAAACAGGCAATTTTTTTTCCAGTCCCTTCAAAGAATTCCTCTAACCCTTGAATATTTCCCTGTTCGTCACGAGCTACAATCAGTTCTGTTACATCAGAAAGAACAGTCTCACAGCGCAACAAATAAAGTGTTTGTTTAGCTCTGGAAAGTTAAATCTATAATACTAGGGAGGGCTGTGATCAGAAATTAATGTTGTCAACACACTTCAGATTGTAAGGACAAGACTACAGACGTTCAGCACCCACGGGACCAACAATGGGACAGGAATAGTTTCTTAACAGTGGACAGTTACCCGAAGACTCCTTTTGTCTTCTAGATGCATTTTAACGGTGGCTCTTTAGGATGCTCAACACAAGATTCCCCACCACACCAAACCGCTTCCTTCTTCAGATTTGGAGTTTTTCAAATTTGAGTTTGATTTTCTTTTCAACTGAGAGAAGCTCGGTATCTGTGTGTGGCATCGCACTTTACATATTTTTTGGAGTTTGCGGTGGTTTGAGAGGAGTTCGGTGAAATGTGCCCTGACAAAGACTTGACTGAAATGTGTGTCTGATGCAGAAACAAGCGAGCCTTGTTTGAAATTTGCCGAAGGCCTTGCTTTTACGCTGTACATTTTGGAGAATGTTTATTTTTTTATGGATGTGTAATATAGCTTTTTGTGCGTGTGTGCGTGCGCGTGCTCTCTGGTTCTGTTACAGCAGCACATACTGGCTCATAAAGGAAGCCTGCGTTTCCCTTATCTGCTTCTGTGACATGAATTTCCCATGTTGTAATCTTGTGTCGAGAGAAAAAAGGTATCGGCGGTCAAAAGCGAATGCTTTTATGTGCACTGTTGGTGCCCAGCAGTGAATGTCTGAGTCCTTTACGTTAGACTCCCGAATGGGGTTAAAGTCCCTGCTCGCATGTTCTTGAAGCTACTTAACTCGGGAGGATAAACCGGGAGTTGAGCAAACACTAGAAGAACATTGAGTACTGTAACACTAAAGAACGTAGCTGCACCATTAGCTGTTGAATCAACACATGATAGATTGCAGGATTGCTGTGTTTGACTACACTGCCGGGTTCAGACGATGCCGTATCGGCTCGTTTATAGACACGGCAGACGTAAGTTGTCTGCTCTGAAGGGGAACAATAAAAGCGCCATTGTTTGTTTGCATTCTTGTTCCTGGAGGGTGGTTCCTAGAACCTCCTTTTGATGACATCATACGAGTCATGAAAGACGGCAAGCTTTGATTGGTCTAGTAGTCTGTCATGTCTCTCCGCCAAGTCACGCAAGAATTTAAAACTATAATCACTGAATCTGACACAGTGACCATGGTAACAGACAAATATTGTTGACATTAGTTTTAGCTCGGTGGACCAAGTATATTATCTAAACTGATATGTCAACATTGAGAGATCATAACTTCGATAAACACTTTATTTTGACTGTCTCATAATTTATTTGAATTGCCATGAATTATTTTTTTATTTAAGTTTTTGCATTTCTACTTTTATTTTTGGGCAGAGATTGACTTCCATACTCGCCAGTTAGTCCCGTTAGTTTTGAAAGTTTCACGACTCCTGAGATCTTCTCTTGTCTGATGTATTGATGCAAATGATCTGTGATCGACACCCAGGCGAAGGAAATGTGTCTGCTGTAATAGAACCGTTTATTTCCACATGGTTTGGGCCACATTCCTGGACTGGTTTTGTTCCATTTTTAATCAGATTGCAAAGGGTTTTAAAAGTTGATTTTATTAGAGTAAATTAAGTGCCAATGGTTGATATTTTCATGGAATAAAAATGTTTCAACTATCACGTTGTGGTTTCTCTTCCTGTGCTTCCTCCAGTGGTGAGAGCTGCTGGTAAGAAAGCTGTTGTCATTAGAAAGGTTCTGTTTGCACATAATAAACCATGGTTTTTATATTTTACCCACAAGGAGGAATAAATCATGACACAAATCAGTTTGTTTATATTCCAATTCAAAAAGTAGGAGTAAAGAACCATGTAAAGAATTTCAGACTTCGGAGACAAAGATGTGTTGAATATACAGGTGCATCTCAATGAATTAGAATATCATCAAAGTTAATTAATTTCAGTAATTCAATTTAAAAAAGTGAAACTCATATATTATATAGATTCATTACACACAGGGTGATATATTTAAAGCCTTTATTTCTTTTAATTTTGATGATTATGGCTTACAGCTAATGAAAACCCAAAATTCTGTATCTCAGAAAATTTGAATATTAATTAAGACCAATTTAAAAAAAGGATTTTTAATACAGAAATGTTGGCCTACTGAAAAGTATGTACAGTATACGGTATGCACTCAATACTTGTTCGGGGCTCCTTTTGCATGAATTACTGCATCAATGCAGCGTGGCATGGAGGCGATGAGCCTGTGGCACTGCTGAGGTGTTGTGGAAGCCCAGGTTGCTTTGATAGCGGCCTTCAGCTCGTCTGCACTGTTGGGTCTGATCCAAGTCCTGCTGGAAAATGAAATCAGCATCTCCATAAAGCATGAAGTGCTCTAAAAGTTCCTGGTAGATGGCTGCGCTGACTTTGGACTTGATAAAACACAGTGGACCAACACCAGCAGATGACATGGCACCCCAAATCATCACTGACTGTGGAAACTTCACACTGGACCTCAAGCAACTTGGATTGTGTGCCTCTCCACTCTTCCTCCAGACTCTGGGACCTTGATTTCCAAATGAAATGCAGAATGTACTTTCATCTGAAAAGAGGATTTTGGACAACTGAGCTCCAGTCCTTTTTCTCCTTAGCCCAGGTAAGACGCTTCTGACGTTGTCTCTGGTTCAGGAGTGGCTTGACACAAGGAATGTGACAGTTGTAGCCCATGTCCTGGATACGTCTGTGTGTGGCGGCTCTTGAAGCACTGACTCCAGCCGCAGTCCACTCCTTGTGAATCTCCCCCAAATTCTTGAATGACCTAAACCCCAGAGAGAAGCTATGGGGTATTCTGAAGAGGAAGATGAGAGACATCAGACCCAACAATGCAGACGAGCTGAAGGCCGCTATCAAAGCAACCTGGGCTTCCACAACACCTCAGCAGGGCCACAGGCTCATCGCCTCCATGCCACGCTGCATTGATGCAGTAATTCATGCAAAAGGAGCCCCAAACAAGTATTGAGTGCATACTGTATACTGTACATGGACATACTTTTCAGTAGGCCAACATTTCTGTATTAAAAATCCTTTTTTTAATTGGGCTTATGTAATATTCAAATTTTCTGAGATACAGAATTTTGGGTTTTCATTAGCTGTAGGCCATAATCATCAACATTAAAAGAAATAAAGGCTTGAAATATATCACCCTGTGTGTAATGAATCTATATAATATGAGCTTCACTTTTTGAATTGAATTACTGAAATAAATTAACTTTTCAATGATATTCTAATTCATTGAGATGCACCTGTATGTGACTTATATCTGAAGCACATGTTTCTGAAGATGTGTTGTAAAATCATTCTTCAATATATAATAAATGTGAACTTTATCAAGATGAAAGCTAACGGAAAGAAAAAAACTTTTAACAGTGTGCTTTTAACTATTCATAAAATGTACATCAACAGCACAGTGTCAGGTTGTTTTCATCAGAAATAAAAATGAATGAATTCAAATAAATTGTCCATCCATCCATCCATTTTCCTCCGCTTATCCGGGGTCGGGTCGCGGTGGCAACAGGCCAAGTAGGCTGACCCAGACCTCCCTCTCACCGGCAACATGTTCCAGCTCATTCTGGGGGATCCCGAGGCGTTCCCAGGCCAGCTGGGAGATGTAATCTCTCCAGCGTGTTCTGGGTCTTCCCCGGGGTCTCTTCCCAGTTGGACGTGCCTGGAAAACCTCCAGTGGGAGGCGTCCAGGAGGCATCCTAATTAGATGCCCGAACCACCTCAGCTGACTCCTTTCGACGCGAAGGAGTAGCGGCTCGACTCCAAGTT